CCGGCAGCCATCACTGAAGGACCGGCAGCCATCACTGAAGGACCGGCAGCCATCACTGAAGGACCGGCAGCCATCACTGAAGAGCCGGCAGCCATCACTGTTACCGTCAAGGAAGGATGAGGCATGGTATTCACTGAGGCGCACGGTAGTCGTGGTGAATGTGTTTTCAGGATTCGGATGTTCTCAAAGACCGCCGACTGGTTCGGGTTTTACATTCATGAGTTAGGCTCGATAGCGATTCACCCTCCGGAGGGGTCTAACCTTTAGCTTAACCTTTGCACCGTGGAGACCCTGGGCATAACTGCATGGGAGACTCATGTTTCACCCGCACTTTATTTCCATTGCATTCAAGAATGCAATGGAAATAAAGACTGGTTTTTTACTCCTCAAAGACGGGAAAGGGAGTATGAATCGATTTTCATTGCAACGTACTTCGTCAGTGAAGACCGGGTAGGCCTAGGCCGAGGCCTACACGGTCTTCAGTGCACTGCCACTGCATTAACGTCTATTCAATACAGGGTTGAATGAAGCCTCCACTGCAATGTTTAGAGACAAAACTCGCAGCGGAGTGTGACGTCATGAATCGAAAAGCTCAGGGAACAGACGCTTCTACAAGAGTCCGAGGAAAGCAAAATGACTCAGAAAAGGGGCGACGGAATGGAAACTTGCGGTGCTTTCATTCCAGCTGCGCTGCTCGGTGGTAAAATTATTCAGGGCATCGCAGCTACAATTCGCATCTGCGGCCGAAACTCTCCGGCTTCAACGTGGACCGAAAACTGCCTTCGAAGTTCTTCGCGCGGATCCAACGTGCTGTAAGCTGCAACGAGAAAACGCCCATCGCTTGGACCCTACTCGCCTGACACTCAGTGACGTTCCGAAAGAAAAGGCCGTAAAAACTTGCTGCTTCGCAATTTGGTTGCTGGCTGTCGCGGTGCACGGTCGCGGTGGTCAATTGAATTTTTGCATGAAGCTTATGAAAAAATTTAAAATACAAATTTATTGCAATCTTGATGCGGCATAACGAGAAGTCAAAGAAGAGTGGATTTAAATAAAATGCTAGTGTTTCGCATGAGAACACAAATCTCGTCCGCGCAGTTCTATATGCCGAACGCACTCTCCCGCGCAGACCTCTAGCCCGGATCCACCACGTGAGCTGAGTATGGCGTCTACACGATGGGACAGGTGGGCGGGAGGTGCCCTCATTGTGTAGTGAATTCCTTCCATTATTTACATGTTCCTGTTTGTTCATGATAATTCTAGCAGGTTTAGGCTGATAAACACGTTAGTTTTTCTTGTGCTCATCATGGAAAAGCCGAGGCACTCGCAGAGGGCAAGAATATTTATGGAATAAAGTTGCTTGGAAATCCCCTTAGTTCTCTGGACGGTGTAGTCTATCCTCATTATATTTTTGCTATGAATTTAGAAGAAAGTCATACTATTTTGATATTTGTGGGGAAAAGTTTCGAGGAATATGCAAGCTGTTTCCTAAGGGAGGGGATATGCTTGAATGCAAAGGCTCTTATAGGTAGAACGATTCCATTTGCAAGTTACCAGGTGTTCTTTTTCCCATATCCTGTTCTGTGCTATTATGTAAGTGTGCTATGTGGGGTTGTTGCCTGCCTTGGAAGCCTGATGGGTGAAGCTTCATCTCCACCCATCATAACTAGTTATTCAGAAAAGAATTACATGAGGGATTCTATGGTAACAAGTGAAATTATGCTTTCATGGGAGCTTTGGTCATGTTCTAAACTCGATTCACTCTCCATCCCTCAGCATAAGAAGGCTATTCAGCCTTGTTCTCAATCAATAGGCCTATGGGTTTGCTTGTGACTACTTTCTTATGAATCATGATGAAGAATATTTTTTACATTGAAATAGTCCAGGTTATTCATGGGCCAACAAAAGAAGCTTATATTGGCTGAATTTTGAGTTTGAGGTGGGTGGTGACATAGCTGATATGGGGGATAGCTGATACTCTCTGATATAAGTTCAAATGACTAGAGAAAGAGGCGTCTGGGTTTCATGCGAAGGAGGAGGCCATTAGTCAAAGAAACCAGAAAAATTGTCCCGTTGCACAAACCTCGTGACTATGATTTTGATGAAGAAGATTCTTGTTTCAAGCACTGCATAAAGTTAACTCGTGATATTTGAAGGTGACACAAACTCATGCATGTCTTTGCATTGATGTACTTCATGCTCCTTCCCAAATGGTATTCCTTGCATGGGTGCAAATCTCAATTGTGCTGGCTGGAGCCCATGGATGTTTGTGGCTGTGCTTGAGGTTAATCATTTAGATCCAGGCCAGGCTCTGAAACTGATTCACCTAAGGAGGGAGGACTGGTACTTTCAATAATTAACTTCTGTTTTCTCTGACAGTCTAGGAGAAAGTAGACTATTGAACCATGTCCAGCAAGTACAGCTTGAAGTGGAATTCGTACCATGTGGAGACACATGCCAGTTTCGAGTCGCTTCGCAGCCGAGAGATGCTGGTGGATACGACTCTGTTTTGCGACGGCCAGGCTCTCAAGGCGCACAAGCTGGTGCTGTGCGCCGGATCGGGTTATTTCGAACGGATGCTCCATCGAGCCGACCATCGTGACGCGTGGATGTATTTCTTCGGTGTAGATGCGAACCTCCTGAAGCTCCTGATAGATTTCATGTATTGCGGCGAGGTGGAGGTGCCAGAGGTGGACCTGAAGAGTTTCATCGAACTCGCAGATGCATTGGAAGTGAAGGGATTAAAGGGAGACCGCTCCAAGAATGCTGCCTTCTCCTCGTCTCCCGGCTCCTCGATCCCTGTGTCGGACGTGCAAGATGCCCTGGCTCACAAGCGAAAGGCAGCCGTTTTGCAGGCAGGATGCCCCAGTGATATCTCTCATTCCGGTGCCCTCAAGGTCCGAAGGAAGCATTTTTCGGCCTCTTCTAGTCCTTTATCGGCATTCCCCAAGCAGTACATGTACCAAACACCAGTGCACAAGGTTAGTTCTTGTGCCTATGTATGTTAGGCCCTATTAAACTAAGATTCTGAAAAATGTACATATCCCAAATCCTACTAATTGGCTTGCAGCTGGCAGTTCAGCTGTTTTAGACCAAAGCATGTGGGAATGGAATCAACTGTTTTCTCTGCATTTCTTACAATCACCCTGATGTTTATTGTTGTGCACTGTTTCCAGATTGAATTTGTACCCCCAATAGGAGTAATTCTATCAATTGCAGATAGTGACATCTTACACATGGGTGGTTTTGTCTATCACCTGCTGAGGTATTACCTGTCAAAATGTGTTTTTTTTTCCCATTCTCCACTATAGGGGGTGGTACAAATTATATCCGGAAACAGTGTAATTGCCCTTACAAGATTTACATCTGTGCATGTGAGAATACTACTTCACTGAACTTCTTAAAACTTTTCCTGTGATTCAAAAATTTTTTGCAGAACTAGAGAAGTTGACATATGCTTGGTTTTGGAAGTATGTTTCATTAAAAGGAATGTACCGTTATGGCTAGAGAAGGATTTTCAGGGCCTCAAAGTGGAACAGAATAGAAGGATGTTAAATCAATATGGATAATATTTTATACATGCAGTAACCGTTATTAAGGTGGGGAAGTGAGTGAAACATGAAAACAATAGTGACATGATGTAAATATTGGAGCACTATCTTTTTTTATTTCAAATCTTAAACTTTTGAACTTTCAAAAGAAAGATCTTTCTTTTGAAAATAATGTATGAAACTTAATATCTTGCCTATCATCTCACTATGAGGCAGACTCAACAACAAAGCCTGATTTGCACTCAGTCCAATGCCTCAGCTCCTGTGGTGATTAATGAACATTGTGATTGAATTCTGCCAGATTCCCATTGAACCAATATTGCAGAAGCAAATGATGATGCCAAGAACTGATCTCAGTCTCATCTGATGAGGTGTGTAGATACCCTGGAGTTGCATAAGTGCAGGATTTATGCATGTCCTGGATTAGGGACAAACCCTAATCCTGCAAAACTTGTAAATCAGCATTTGGCCGTTGAAAATCTATGCATAAAAAAATGTTATGTTGATTATGAGCATCAGACCCAATATAGGCCTCTGAGGAATCATTGATGAGTTATGGTGTCTGTCATCTGTTTGAGAACTTCCATCTTATTATCCCATTTAATGCAAAGTTAATATTCGACTGGTTGATTGCAGGTCAAGGTTCCCAAATCAGAGTAGATGATGAGTTAGAATTTTGAATACTGATGTGAGATTTGATGACAGAACTGTGGATTAACTGAACAGGAGCAAATGGCACAGCAGTACCCTTGATGTTCTCATCCTGTTATGCCAAGTGATGTGTTGTGTCGTTTGCCTCGCTGGAAAATTATGAGCTTAGCATTTGTTGGAACTATTGAATAAACAGCGCCGGATTAATCTTAGCTTTTCGCCAGTATTATGGAGATGAGGGAATTTTCTGGTCGGTGAGAAGGAGAAGTACTGTGCATTTGCTTTTTTTGTGATGAGACAGGGAAATATTTATTTAATGTATTTTCACTACGATTCGCTATTGAGTTTTTTTTATTTCGAGGAGGGACAAATCTAAATTGTGATCGTTGGCGTTGGTTTAGTGAAAGATTAGGAAGGAAAGGGAGAAAGAGTGACTTAAGCCTGCTGCGAACCCAGATGAAAAAAGGAAAATAAATGAATAATAAAATGGATTCGTCAACTCCACTAATCGATGACGCATCGATTCATGGGTGTCATCCGAAACGATTAATTATTTGGAGGAAGAAAAGCGGGGATGATCTCGAAAGAGAGCGGCCGCGAGCTTAGCGTATTTACTGTTCGGTGCCTCGGGTCTCCCAACAGGACAGGAAACCGTCACAGCGAGGTGGGGAGGGAAAATGTTGCATTGGGAGTTGTCTCGTGTTCGTCTGAGACTGAACGGTTTCTCGTTGCCTGGCATCGCGGGGCCAGGTTATCGCAAGCGCTTGCGGATTCTGGTTTTGTACTTCCATACTGCGTTGCGGGGCTTGAAATAATATGAAAGGGTGGTATGGATGCAACACGACAGCCTTGGTGCCGGCAGGAAGGCTTCCTTAGAGACCCTTCAATTAAATTAAGAATACGTTAATTCCGATCTCATCATTGAAGTAATGGGTACCTCAAATCTTCCCCTCTTCAAGGAAATAGGAAAGATGCAACGATGAGAAAATAGGTCCCCCCCCCCCTTAAGATGGATGATAATTTTTTTATTTATTGACGCAGTAAGTCATGATCCCTAAGTTCCAAGTATGTTCAGATATCAGCGCAGGACTCCTCAGACCTACATAAAATATGTAATTCCAAAACAGGGGATAATAATTCCTGTTATCTTAGTTAAAAGCAATATATCCCACAGCCGCTAGATGACAGGAGGTGAGCGAACTTGACCTATAAATGCGGATTTTTTAAAGGACGAACCTGAACAAACCCCTGGTGAGCCCAATCCAATATTGCGGGAAGTTTATGACGGGAAATTGCGGACAAACGATTCGGCGTTGTCGTGACCTTGAATGACCCGATCGGGGTCTTTATTTCTGTTCATTTTCCTTATTTCCGGTCGTGGAACCTAACGACCCAGCTGTCTCTTGCAGACGAACGACCCGGCTTTTCAATCGACCAAGTTTCGATCGAAGACCGCTACTCTTAGACAGTGTCGACCAGAAACGATTCGAAAGGCGCCGACGGTCGAGGCGATCGAGTACCGGTGCCCGGGACTCAGGACCGCAGACCGGCCGCACGCTCTTATTTGCCCGCGACTAGTACGAGTGGAGACGGAGAGTTGCACGACGACGGTGGAGGCGCCGACTCGCGACACGCCGCCCGCGAGGCGTGAGAGAAGCTCGTCCACGTCCTCCACGGAGGAGGAGTTAGCTGCGGATTGAGTTCGGGTCGTGAGAGGTTCTTGCTTGTCGGATGCAAATACATGTTTTGGATTGTATCCAGCCGGATCGTGGGAGTTTTTCTTCATCGCGTTGCCGTCTGAAGCGGGGATGTACCAGAGTTTTAAGCACTGGTGGCGTGTGAGTGCGGGTTGACAGGCTTTTACGAGATGAATGGTTTAATGCTTAAATATGGACGCACTCATTGAGAATCCTTAAAGAAATACTTTTTTCTTGGAATTGAGCATGAATGGAATGGAATACCTAGAACATTTCATTGGTTCTCCTTCAGTATAATATGTTCTTGAGAAAAAAAATCCTTGTAACAGGATTGTAAATAGTGCATTTGGCTTGGAAGGGTGGTGCTGCACAATGCTCTGCAAGCACATACCTTGCTTTGGTGAATCTGGTGTGTGTTTCCCCTTCAGTTCCTGATGGGGTGTGGTAGTTGTTCTTTTCCAGGTGCCTTCCATTATGTGATGAATTGTTTCAAATACTATCTGTTTTTGTCAATTTTTAGATGATTCTTTTTGTGAGGAGATATTAACATTGCTGAAACTTTTTGTGCTGAAGTGTACAAGGTTCACTAGGGCATTTCTATTTTTAAAAAGTTACTATGGAGATACAAGTTCAAATGCATGTTTGAGGATGGAAGTAGGAGTAATGTTGTTCTGATTTACATAGGAAGTGATAAGCCAGGAAGCAAATAACTCTGGATCTGCCGGTCTATGCGTGTCTGCCCAGCAGCCAGAAGTCTTCATAAAAGACGAAGTAGAAGACGTGGATCTGGAGGAAGGAGACGGTCGTCTAGTCGAACGCATAGAGAACCCAGAGGTTTGAACCACATCTTCATGGTACTGACCAGAACGAATTCCTTTGTGTGTGAAGCTTGTTCCTCGTGTCATTTTCAGAATGGGAGCAAATGGGGGGAATCCATCAACTCTTCAGAGCAGCAAGGAGCACTGGTGTCCAATGGAGACATGCCGTTGATCGTCCCACCGGACATCAACCCTTCGGTGAGTGACTTCCCATTTCTGAATCATACTGGCATTGGATTAACTGGACATTTGCAAGTTTCAGTAGCTTTTTCCTGTTGTGCAACTCTAGACATTAGTGCAAGCAGACACATTAAGTCTTCTGCCCTATTATGTGCAGTGTTGAAGGATGACCATTTTTTTGTTAGCTGTATGGAGTGGTCATTCAAGCTGAAGGAATCCCTATCCTACTTCCCATTCAAACTTCATCTGTGTTATATTTGCTGATCATAAAATTGCTTCAAGACTTGTGTACCTAATAGGCAACACTTTCCAATTAGTGTAAATGCTCATTCCATTTGAGATTGTTTATGTTTAATGCTATTTTTGGGCAGAGGAAGTGCCTAATCTCCCATTCCCCTTCAAGCAATATAAATGTCTAATGAAAGAAGAAAGGGCATGTTGGTATTTTCATGCAGTCGTCATTTTACAATGTAAGTCACTCATATTACCCAATGTCCCTTTCTCTTGCATGGGTAGATAACTCTCCTCATACATGGGATGATCAATGCAGTATGAGGTTGGGTAACATGTACCAGATAAATTCACCTTTGAGAACAGATTTAGTACACCATGCTTCATTTTTTCTTCACAGTTTTCTCATGTGGGAAAATACTCAGTGCATTTAGTTGTGCAGTGTTTGTGTGTAATAATAAATCATATTTCTGATAGTATGCTATTTACCTGATGTTCCATTCTCTTCGCTTTGAGCACCTATTATGATTTTACTACCCAAGACCATCAAAGCATGTCTGGGTATCATGTGAAGAGTCGCAATCAAGAGGACAAGTCTGGTTGGGCCAGACTCGGAATAATCTGAAGTTGTTCTTTGTGACTTTTGTCCATACATGATGCCATGCTCTCAAGTTGCACTAAAGCATGCATTCGCACCTGTTGTATCACATTCAATTTTTTTTTTAGTTCTTTATGTTCTCTTGTAGGGTGGAATTCACCCAGCAAGCAAATTTAGGACATAATTCCTTCTTTATCCATCAGACTTCATTTATGAGCAGTCATGAAATAATTTTTCTCCACCTTTTGTTCCTGTGATGGTGAGGCAGTATCAGGAGCAACAATTATAGGATCTTATAACATCAAAGAACAATGAATTCCAATGCAAAACTCCAGAGATAGAGAAAGAGTCCAATAGATCACTGGCTCCTGGTTACATTTTTGATTAGTAAATATCAAGCTGGTCTATCTGAGAAGCAGTGAGATTTGGGGTTGTGGCAATGTATGTGAGTAGAACATGTTGGGTCCTGATCACCCTAAAGTTTAGGCTTCATTTTTTATTTAAACCTTTTTTTTTAAGAGCAATAAATGATAAATATATGTTTTTCTAATAATCATGGTGATAACAATGAAGTAGTGTTGGAAATTGTTTCGCTCTATACGCATGAGCTTGGTCCCAAGCTTTCTTTGACTGTAGCTGCTAAACATGTTGACTGCTCAATGCCAGCATGGATTGAAATGTTCAAATAGACCAGCAGCGTGGTGGATGGAAGAGGAAGGAGAAGAAAACTGAAGACCACAAGAAAGGAGGATGAGCTGATTGTGCAAGAATTTCAATTGATCATCCGACATGCTGCTGGTCGTCTTGTATGTTTCATGAATGGTGTCAATGGCTTGGGACCAAGCTCATGAGTACAGAGGAAAACAGTTTCCCAATGCTGCTTCATCATTTACACCATGATTATCGAAAAAAGTATTATTGTCAAATGCTTCAGCAAAAAAAGAAAAAGGTTTAGGTCAAAAAGTGAAGCCTAAACTTTACAGGTTATCGGGACTGAATGTGTACTGATAGCACACATTATTGCAACCCTAATGTCACTCTGTTCTTCAGATTTGCAATTTCGATTTTTTAATCAGGTCTCTACATTGAATGTTGAAAAGAAGGCTTAAGTGATCATTACGCTGTCTCCATCCCTTCTTCCCCGAGAAAGGCAACCGTCTGCTGAGAAAAGAAAAACTGTTGATTATGTTGCCAGAGTCTCGGTGTTCCATACGAGAAGTACAGGGGACACCTGCTGCATGCTCGGACTTGGACCAACCTCAAGATCTACCTTTGCACCCTCTGCCCCTACAAGACGGCCCGGAGCGGACTGGCCCTGGACCACGTCCGCACTCACACGGGGGAGAAGCCCTTCGCATGCTCCACCTGCGGCAAGGGCTTCTCCGATCGCGCCAACTGGAAGAGGCACCGGCTCACCCATGATCGCATTCATTCGTCTCCTGGTGTTAATTTATCATTGCATGCTATTCAATAAATAGAACTTGGAAATTATCTCTTTGAGTTGTGATTCCAATGTTAATGATTATTACTTTTGTGATGGACATTGTAGGTGCTTTAAGGATTCCTACAACTGTAACTGGAGGAATTACTGTTTCTGGTCTCAAAAAAATGGATACCAAGGAACAACACTGGCTCACTCTGATGCGATGTCTAAGAAAGAAGTAAGAGAAGATTTAGGACCAACACTTTTTGCTGCAGGTTGCTCCCAATATGCAATTTCTCAGACAGTAGAGACTACTTTAGATGTTGTGTTATGAAGTGAGAGTGGAACTTTCGTCATGTACCTAAAAACGCCAAAGAGGCTTCCAAAGTGAGAAGACTGAAACCTGCATGGTGTATCCTCGTGTTACAGACCGTCGGGATTCCACCCCAGGACCGCTGTGGAGTCATCTGGCAAGGCTGGACATGGGACCGGCGTAAGAGATACTTCTGCTCCCGTTGCTTGTACATCACCCACAGTACGTTTGCTGCATTCAGGCACGGTCGCTCTCACACCGGGGAGAAGCCATTTGCATGTTCCACCTGTGGCAAGAGGTTCTCTGATTGCTACAATTGCAGGAACCACGAGTTAATCCACAATCGCATTCGTTCGTCTACCGGTGTCGATGCATGATCGTATGCCGTTCGATAAAAGGACGGGGGAAATCAATCCCCTTAAGTTGTGACATGGAGGTGAATGATTCTCACTGGTTTGTGATCTTGCTTAAACTGGATGCCTTGGAGCAATACATAACAGCTGAAATGGGGAATAATTTGTTTGAAGAGACACCTCTGGGATCAGCAAAATCATTGATGGAAGTGAATTATCCCATGCCTCTCTTGATGTTACTTGATCGATTGTTGCACTTGTAAAAATCCTAAGCAGTCCTTTGGGTCTGAATGATTGCTTAGTAATTGCATAATCTCAATGAAAAGGCTGGAATTCCCCATGACTGTTCTGTGGGCCATTGGAATGCTTAGGCTACAGGATCACTATGATAGAAGGCAAGCAGAATTAAAATATGTTCTGCATGCCGAATTTCAAACGCCCGGACCGTCACACCCCGTGTGACGGTCCTTGCATTCGACGGCCAGCAGCATCGAATTAGATGCCGTGCTTCCGACTCGCCTCTATGAATACATGACCGGATGGCAATTTGAAAATCTCAAAAGCAATTTGAAGAAATATATTGCAAGCTGTTTGCAAATGCATGAGTGGTAGATGTTTTCTGCATCCTTCTCATTTCTGTGGAATGGGAAGGGTGCCTGAATCCATCATTGGGGCTGTTCAGTGGGAATTCACTTCTGGGGAGGCAAACCTATTTGAGCCAAAGGATAGGTTCTTGGAAGGGAGCAAAGGCAAGTTTGCACCAGACTTTCCAAACTGAGGATCACCACATTTTAGGCTTTCTGCTCTAACTGGCTGAGAGTTTTGTTTGAAACTTCTTGCCCTCTCGGAGAGGATCGCGAAAACGTACAGACACGTGTCGGAGACGGAAGGCCGTCGAGAAATGGCTTTTTCTTTTATTGTTAAGGAGCGGTGAGACTGCAAGCCTCAGAATCGCCCACGGGACTGAATCGACAAGATGCATGAATGCACGGCTGGAGACCGATGGCTGCAGCAAGAATTGTGAGTTGACAACTCTCCAGATTAAATCTTTGCCCCACACTTTTGACTCTTGGGAGCAGCATTTCCAACTTGTTAGGACACAAGGCGCCCGTAGAAATTCTTTTTGAGGATTTCAGTGGGAGGGAAGGGGGGGGGCTGGAGGCTAGGTTAAAGGTCATTCGGGGGGGTATCTTTGTAGGGGCTTGACAGATCCCCCCCCACCAACGGAAAATACTTCACTGGATGTTCCCCCTCCCTTCTCCAAAAAAAAAAAAAAAATTAGTTCGCTCTCGTACAATGCCAGTGTCACACTGAAATGGGTGATGGCAACGACGAACATCATTTTGGAATGCCTTGCAGGACACATCTGAATATGCTCTCCCGCCATCGACAGCCAAAAATGCAGGCGAGTCTGGAGGGACAACAGCGCAACCAGGACGCTGAAAAAAAAAGGGAGACATCCATGCATCCATGCGACGAGGACCCACCCGATCCACCTGGCGGGACTGGACTCGCCGGGATGTTCCTTCCCCTCTCGCCTTTTGTCTCCCATGGGAGGCACTCGCTTCGATCGAGAGCGAGGAAAGGGAGTCGTGGGGAGACAGATTCAAGTGGTTCGCATTTCTATCACCAGAGATTTAATATATTCATGAAAATATGAAAAACCTGGATGATACCGGGAAGGGAGGGGAAGGATGCAACAGTCAGAATTTGGCCAGCAATTTTTTTGGTTTGTCGTGAAAAGAGCAAGGGCCTCATATGGATATACGGTAAAACACAGTTGATATGCCAATTAGAATAAATTAGAGCTACACGAATGAAATATCCGGCTCAATCTATGTGAATCACACTCGGCTTTCCGATCTGAATATCCATATTGTATTCCACCAAGCGAGAACTGCTGAAAATCTGCCGTTTCTGTAAATTACTATAATAGCCAAGGAGGTTTCTCGCATTGACGCCATTTAAAATCATCAATTGAGCGCGTGTGACGTTAACGTCACACGCGATAGAGATGTAGAAACCGTCCGCGTGACAACCCTGAACGGAGCATAGACCCGGCAGGGGGGCCATGGCCGCCCGCTCCTCCAATTTTGGGGGGCGGATCTCGCCACTTCTCGGCGAATTACTTCAACGTTAAGCGAATATATTAAGCGAGTGGTCACCCTGGGATTCGTGGGACGCTCTCGTCTGATCAGACCGAGTGGGATTCGGAGGGCCAGGCGGTTCGGCAGGGTGATGGGGGATTCGCTTCGAGACGGGGACGCTTTCTTTGTGGGGGGTAGGCGGATGCACTCTGGCTGGGGGGGAAGGGGGGATCGGGCGAGGCTGAGACGTGGATCAGTGGCTGCATGGTTCCTTGAGGGTCTGAGAGGTCGGCAGGGCTCGCGTCAGTTGGACCGCTTGGTTGCAAGTTGTGTCTGAAGCGGTCGACTCCCATGTTATAGGGCCTCGTCGATGATGAGCATCTGAAGGTGGGGATGGGGGGTGGGGGGGTATTAGGGGTATTAGGGCTGCTGGGGGAAATGGCAAGTCTTTTCAGGACAGAGACGGTTTGTGATACTGAAGGGGCAGGTTCCTCCAGGTTCTCAAAATGCTTGTTTATCCTCAATGGTACTTGAATAGTTCTGAATCAGAGCACTGGAATATCTTAGGCTAATGAGAGTCATGGGAGAACCTTAGCATTGCAGTATTTTCAATTTAGGTTTGCATGGTCACAGATATGAGCTGAGACTTGCTGGGCGAGAGCTTGAAGCATGTTCCAAATTTCCAAAAAGAAGGGGGGTGGGGGGGAGAGAAGAAAGAAATTACATGCGCAAACTTTCCTTTAAAACTTGAGAGTTTACAAGACTTATCACGTTGCCTCTAATCAAGAATTAAAAATGAAATGGATGGAAGGAGTTTTTAAGATGTCAAAGAACATAGATCTGATAAAAGTTGGGTAAAACTTTCATATAGGAAAGGTGTTCAACTGAAAACATGCAGTGTTAGATCAGAAAGGTGCATATTCATATTCTCATTAGTCATAGGCATATTCATGGTCTCTCATGCAGAAGAGAAGCAAGTGAAAGCAAACTGCCATGGAAATCCAGCCTTGTGTGGTTTCCCTTTCAATTTATACTTCATTTAATATTATTTCAATTTGCTAGGTCCATAGGTCTGAAGAATCTCTATGGGTAATGTTTAATGTGGTCCAGTTTGAAAATAAAGGTACTGTTTTGCCTACAGCTTGCCACATCTGTGGGGTTCTAGTACATAGCCAAGTCCAAATGGTAATTTACATTTTTCATTCCTAATCTTACAGGAGAATAGGCTTCCAATGAGTATTCCATCAATAAACTCATGCCTTTCAAGCCCAATCTACTTGCCCTTTTAAAGTGCCTTGCCACTTCATGCCAGTGCCCTATTGCATTAACTCTTTCAGACCTGAATTAAGGCCACTAAGAATAATATATTTTCTTTGCATTTTTGAGCTTTTTTGTGATTGTAATTGAAATTTTCATGCTTTATATGTAGTTCTTATATTTTGTATAAATTTACCATATATTATATATTAAACATTTATTTAAATAACTGAAGATTAAGAAACTAATGGGTGAAAGAAAGCCTCTGACTGAAGGGAGCCATGCGTAATTGCTCCCATTGTAGTGTAATATGGAGTGCAAAGTCACAAGAATCCTAAGAAATTCCCATGGACACAATGTATATGCAATGTCAATTGGAATGGATGCCAGGTCTGAAAGGGTTAAATGTGTGACTAGCACTTACCTGAAATTGTTACTGATTCATAATGTTTATATACCTTGATGAATACAAAGATACAAACCGAACTTTAGAGGTTAATGCATGAGACAAAGCTAAGAATATGTCTTGTTTCATCAACCTTGGCTGATGTTGAATTTGTCTCCTCAGTGAATAGTAATACACTGATTGACTCCTCTTTCTTCCAACCATCCAGGAGAGACAAGATTAAGTAGTCATGTCTAGCAAATATAGTTTGAAATGGAATTCGTACCACACGGAGACGCACGCCACCTTCGAGTCGCTTCGCAGCCAAGAGATGCTGGTGGACGCGACTCTGTTTTGCGACGGTCAGGCTCTCAAGGCGCACAAACTGGTGCTGTGTGCCGGGTCGGGCTATTTCGAGAGGACGCTCCACCGGGACACCCACCGCGACACCTGGATGTACTTCTTCGGTGTGGATGTGAACCTCCTGAAGCTCCTGATAGATTTCATGTACCGCGGTGAGGTGGAAGTGCCAGAGGCGGACCTGGAAAGACTGATCGAACTCGCAGACACGTTGGAAGTGAAGGGACTGAAAGGAGAACGTTGCAGGAATGCTGCCTTTTCTGCATCTTCTGGCCAGACGATGCCAGCATCAGAAGTGCAAGACGCCTCGACCCACCGACAAAAGGAGACGGCCTTGGTGACGGGTTACGCCAGCAACTCGTCCCATTCTGCTACCCTCAAGGGCAGAAGGAAAAACTTTGCAGCTGCTTCCACTCCCAAGGAAGCATTTGAACCTCCTTCCTTACAGCCCAAGACATTGCTGCAGGTGAGTTTCAGTCTCTAGTCCTGTAGAAAGAGGAAAACAGTCCATTCATGAAGTAATTCTCGTGCCAGATGGATTGAAGAAATAAGTTGAAAGTAGGACTTGAGATGGTTCTACATATCCCTACAACATCAGCACCTTCATTGGTGCTTCTGGGTGGCCATAAAAGAGGTGACAAACTGTTCAACATTGGCTGTTCTATTTTCTTGCCCAATGGCCTCTGTCATTGTAAATAGTTGAAGCTTGCCTATCAGTAATGTCTCCCTGTGCTAGGTTATGAGAAAAAAATATATTCAGAGGCCCGTCAATACAAGTAAAATATTAGCCAAGCTGATATTCTGTTGGCATAATGGATTGTCAAATAGCATTAGTATTAATCCCTGCATGCATTAATTTTTTTGGTATAAAGGAACAAAAGTCATGGAATTCCCATCATTCTAGAGGGAAATGCAAAAGTTTTTAGGCTCCTGCCATTTCTTTTTTACCAATGTGTTGAATCCATCACTGTCCTCATGCATGCACTAATAAACGTAATTGACTCAAAATTGCTTTTCAAAAGAGTGAAAGGTGTTTCAAGTGAGGCCCATATATGGTAATTTGCCTAAGAATTTCTTGTATTCTTTATATGAGAAATAGTTTTTGGTTGAAGTATATTTTCCTTAAATTCTATCAATGTAATCTAGAACTGTAATATTCAGAAAGTGGGAAAATAACATTCTGGATCTCAACCAGTAATTCAATGGTCCAGATATCCAGAAATTCTGTCTAGTCAATGCTCATTTCACAACTTTGTTATGAACACATTTAAACTTCATAAGTATGGCCATGGCTTGGTAGCATACCAGAGAGACTGAGAAAGAAAACCAGTTCTGTATATGAAAAATTCATCTGAAGCCATTACCTTGATAATACCTTGCCTCAGTACTCCATGGTGCTTCATGTTGGAAACGACTGCCTCCGGTCTCGATTCCCGTATCCGGTGTCGGCATGCTTTCCATAGGTGTTCTTTGGCTCTGCCTGGACTTTACTATTCAAGATGTCTTATCTGGGTCGAATGAGTAGGTTCTGATTGCTATGGAGGCTACATCCTATGAAACAATTATCTTTTCATGACCAAAACTTCCACTTGCATGAAAGGAAATGCAGGCTGAATATACTGACAGCCAACACCAGCTAGATCCACCTCTGTGCCTCATGCTGGTGCAGGTTGGAGGTGGATGAAGGAGCAGCCAAGACATGGTTGCAGGTCATATGTCAAAAGGGCTATAAGTATAGGGCTCAGAATTGCTCTTCATGCAATTTTTTCTCTTTGTATCACTCTTTTTCATTTAAAAGTTACTTGTAGTTTATTCCTGATGTTAAGTCACCTGTTAAATGACTGGATTAATAGACATAACATTCCCTTGAATCCCTTCTTATTTGACCAACTTGGACATTTAAAAATGTGTAATTTTGTAATTTAGAACTAGCAGAAAGGTCATTCTGAACTGGAACTCACTGTTAGTTGTTCTTGTTCTTTCTCCCCAACAGAAAAATGTAACTAGTGTTTTGAATTCTCAGTGCATAGCTTTTGCAAAAATTTCAGGGTGTGAAGGGAATGGCTATTTGTTATTGGAAAATCTCTGGTGCTCCTGTACATTTTATATTTGCAGATGTTTGATCCATGTAATACACCCATATACCTTTGCTCTAATTTAAACTTCCTGCCGCACTCCCCTAATTAACCTCGTCGATCTCCACTGCAGTGGTCGTCGAGGCAAACGAGGTGAAGCAAGGTGCAAATACTTGTAAGAAATTTGCCCCTCCGCTTCAGTCTGGTTCTCAATCAGCCATTGTATTCCTCCAGAAGAGTTCCTCGAAAATGATTTCGTGGCATATTTGCAATTTTTGACAATTTCTAAACAAGATATAAACAAGTGCGTCATGATGGTTTTAATACGGACCTGATCCCATTGGGGGTATAAAAAGTTTACCTTCTTGGAAAGTAATTTACAGTAAGTCAGATTACCACGTTTCAGCATTAATTTTGGGCTGAAAGAACTGTTTCAAGCCACCTTCCGAACCGAGAAAAATTATCTTCCATTCATCATAGAAGGAATTCCTCCTCACAAGCATTCAGATTTCATTTTTCAGATGGTCAATGATTCGAACTTGAGCGTTATTTGTTTAGAACTATTTATTTAAAAATAAAAAAACACTAATTGCATTCATAATGCATGGTAAGTGCAAGAGTAGTATGCAGCAGGGGAAGATATGCAAACAAGTACCCGTTTTTGAATGGTGTACTAACACCTTTAGTACCGGCCGATACTTACCCCGCTACATCTGGCCCCACTCTAAAACCGGTCGGACGTGGAAACAAAACCCGATGTCCTGAAGGGCTTGGATTATTTTCCAAGTCAGCATTTCATGACGAATGCTGTTCTTGCTAACATTTCCATAGTTTCAGTAGAAAAAATGTCATAATAGCAACTTGGTTTTAAAAAATCGATAACTGACACGAAAGTATGCGTCATTTAGACAGGTAACGATGACGTTATTCCTAAGAAATATAGGTAACACCTACCTGGAGATATTCCTCATTTCAGAGCTGCAGGTACGGACGCATCGATGGCCAGAGACTGTCGGGATTCCGTTCACTCACGGAACTGGCAAGCGTACGACGGCCGCGATCGTTCCTATCTCCGCTGCCGAAGAAGCAGACATCTGTTTCCTTGCGTAATCGGTTTTTCGTAGAGCCCTGCACGGTTGGCACCATGTCTTTTCCGTTACGTGCACTCGCACTGCGACGAAAGCATAAGAAATGCCGCGTGACATGGAATGACCCCGATTCCAACGGAAATTATACCGACGGCGCTCCATGACCCTGTTCACAACGAGCCGTTGGATAATCCGCCTGGTTCACCGCTCATCCTATCCCTTGAATGACCCTATGGAGGGGAGGAGTGGAAGCGACGCAGCTCTCCGCCGCCGCCGTCCTCTCTGACCTCAGTTGGCTGCACGTTACGGTCTGGCGATGGTCACCTTCCCACTCGCAGCAGCTGGGCGAGGGGGGAGGGGGCGGGGGGCTGGGCCTGAGCCACGAACTTCCCGTCCCGTCTGGCTTTGTCCGCCTCCTTTTCTGAAATGTCGGAGAGACGGTCGAGTCGTCTGGCTTTCGTGGCAGAATTTCAGAAACTATTTTTCACATTTCCGGAAATCCCAGAAATGAATGAGAAGAAATTGAAACATCACCGGAGCGACGTGATATGCCCTCGCGAATGAAAATGCATTCGAAGTGATCTTTTCACACGACGTCGATTCATCATCTAGAACGAACGTACTGGAACTCACGAGGGAATCGGCACATTCGACCAGATCCGAAAAAGAATCGAGACTGGCGACCGTGGGCCTTCCTGCCCGTCACCGTCGAACGAGAGCAAGTTCTCACGCGCAGCCTCGGGCCATATCCGCCTCGGACCCGGAAAAAATGAAACCCATTGGATTCGTCGCGTGTGCATGTCGCACAGGCCTCATGAGGATATTCACCCTCCCTGTCTGCCCTCTCCGCCCTGTCAGTAGCTTTTCACCGGCATGGTGTGTCAGAATAATTCAGCAAAATCGACAGCGAAAGGGTTAATGAATAGTGCAATCATTTTTTACTATAAAAAAAAATTATTCGTGTATAGCATTTTTGCCTCCCGACGGTTTGCCTTTCACGAGGAAGGAGAGTCGGATGACAAGAACAGGCGCCATTCGCTCACGACAGGCCGACGGCCTCGCCCGTCTGTCGAATCGGCGCACAAGCAAGACCCGTTTTGGTTATCGTGTGACCGCGTTATCGTCTCCCCTTCTAACACAGCAGGCAATGCCTACTAAATGCGCCGTGGCTCCTGAGGCTCAGTCCCCAAAATTATTTAATTACAGGAGACGGAATGAATGGAAACCATACTCTGTGAAACCATTCGCTCAAGGTATTTACCAGGAAAAAAATGAAGGGAAACGTTCGTAATAGGTCCATGCCCCTACGAGGTCAGGTCATTTACAGTCAACTGTATTTTCACGTATTTCATCCGCTCGAGGATTCGATATACTTGTGTCGAGAAGTGAGGTTTTTCCCGAAGGAAATCGTCGAGGATCGATATCGCGTGTCGTATACGGAGGGTTGTTTGCACTGGACTCCAGGACCTTTTCCCTTGCACCTGTGATCACAGATGACGGGTAGACCTGCCACGGAAAATGCAGTCATTTTCTGTTTCTTCTATGATGATTTAAGAATGTTTTTCAGCGGGCGAGTGATGGAAGAAAGGGGAGATGTTAGCGACTTCCCGACGCTCCATGCAAAAGCCTATAGATGCAGAAATCCCGTTTTCGTAATTCATTTTCCCTTTCGTTACGTTTCTGTAAATGGCATGCGAACATATTCGTTATTTCAGATACCAGTACCGACTAAACAATGTCTCGACTGAAAGACATTCTCTGCTCGTCTGAGGTGTTTTTTTTTTCGACCCCATGGAATGAAAACATTAAGAATTACTCCTGAAGCGAACGACGAAGAGAGTTATGACCTACAACTTTTATCTTGTGTACCTCGTAGTTTATCACGATAAGTTCCCACGTTTTTATTACTCGTAGTTAATCACATCGCTGGGCTACGCAAGCTACGAGTGTGGTCATTTTTTGAAAAGAGGGAATAACAGCGGTAATTGACACTAGATTCGTGGTAGGGCTTGAAGAAGCAATGAGAGGTTCCGAAGCGATCCCGAAGAAAGTTGCACGGAGCAGGAACAGGATAATAAATATCGGGTGTTTCTTGGTTCGGTGGGATATATATATTTTTTATATCTGCTTACGTTGCGTGCTGGAAATGATAAAAAAAATCCCCTTATCTGACTTTCGCCGTTGCCACGAATCTAGTCAGGCGTAGTCAGAATGGGGTGAAAAGAGACCCCAGACGGCCTTCACGGGATTTTCGAGCAAGGGAGGGTTGATCTGGCCACAGTCCCTGGTTGTCGCCTATCTTCCGTCGTTTATGGCATCTGTCGTTCCTAATGGGAAAAAGATATGGAAGGCCGTTCCATTCCACTCTCCTTTGGTGGATGTTAGAGACGCACGCATGACTCCATAGCAGCATGAATATGGACGTAAAATACGAAGAAATGGGGCTCCTCGGGCTGCAAAGAGACACTGAGACACTGAGAATTACATCCTCCACCCCCATCCCCTGGAGGGTGGCCGCTGGGGAGGCGGTGGATGAAGCATTGAGACCACGCCTCACTTGCCTGTCTTTTGCTTGCCTATGCGATATGCATTGGATCTTTGCATCAAAATTCCGTTTCTTAAATCGTTTCGCGGAAAACTATCGTTAAAGTTCGTTCTTGTCCAATTTTCAGTGTATGTTATTTTCCATTCCATTTTTTTTTTCGGTTAGAAACTCTTTCCCATTCAAATAGCCCTTAGTATGTGTCAGGGAAGTTCAACATAAGAGAGTTTTGACGTGGTATAGACTGATTATTGTTGCATGGGAGAACAATGAAGTGCATCTCTATCTTTAGGGAGACTTGAACCAGGAAGTGAACGACGCGAGGTCATCCGGCTCCTCCCAGTCCAGTCGGTGCAGAGGGGACTCGGTGGCGAGAGAGGGAAGCGAAGAAATCCGTGCAGGGAAAGGGGATCAGCACGCGATCGGGTACACGGATCACCACGAGGTCTGCGTCGGGTTCATAGCTGCGATCGTTTGCTACGAGGAATGGGAGAACGCTCTCCATGTTTAATGCCCTGCTTTGGTCGATTTGCAGGATGGAGGCCACTGGGAGGATTCCATGTTCGTCACGGACGGGGAGGATGGGCCGATTTTGTCCAGTGAAGAAATGCCTTCTAACATCCCACAGGATATTGACCCCGCTGTGAGTTTCACTTTGTGTCATGTATTACATTCCACAAATTCAGGGCATGCTCACTGTTGGCTTGTGACAGATGCTTCAGTGCCAGCTGAACCAATGACTACATTCCATGATGGGAAACAGTTGTTTTTCTCCCTTCTGTGTTTTCCCTCTATGCTGTCATTGCTTCCATTCATTTCCTGTGCTTCAGGATTTGTTGTAACTAGAGAGAACAGGCTAATTGAAAAGTCTCCCATCAGCAAGAAACATATTTGGAAGAAAACTAAGTCAATTGCTGATAAATGTTATTGAAATATTGAAGTACATTGTATACCATTGTAGTGGATGCCTTGGATGGATACTCAAGCAAGAACAAATCATTCCAGCAATGCATTTTGGGAATGGAAAGTGTACAGTACTTGTCCATGATTTACTGGATGACCTGGATTGAGTCACTGAGAGACATGGAAGTGCTGACTGGCCTGCTAGGATCCTGAACTCAGCTATCTGTGACTTTTCTCCTTGGGGTTTTCTTGAAAAGAGTTTTACATGTGTAAGTCAGGATATGTTGATGCTAAGGAAGCTGCAAACCAACACTAAGCAACTTCACTGCCAGGGGACAGTGACTTTTGTTGAGGACAGGCTTTAGAAATATGGAACCATTTGTTCTGTCTGTGGGGTTGTCGATGGTAGGCGTTTTCGAGCAGTGAATTTGTTTCAATGATGAACTCCACTATGGTGTTATGCACATGGGTCAAGGAGAGCCCAAAGATCAAAGGCAATCTGCAATCTGCCTCTCAGTCGGGCCAGACTCGGAACGTCCAACGGCAGGCTCTCGTGCGAGTGTGTCGACATCTCTTGTACCTGCTGTCCTTGTTGGATGCATAGGAAGGTCTAAGCTATGAGATTTGACCAGGTTGACCTTTGGCCAGAGCAGTCATGGTCACATGAATCTTTTCGCTGTGAAACTTGTAGGTGGAAAGAACAAATGAAGTAGTTATAGGGGTGGTCATTTTATTCTTTCAGGAATCTGTAATTATGAATCTGGCCAGTGGCAAATCATTGTCCTGAAACTTTGATGCAGAAAAGGTCTGATTCAATGAAAGATATGATGTTCATAGTTTTATACCAGCACAATGGAATTTGTGGACTCCTGGTCAGAGATCACATGACATACAATTGTTCTGATGCAGTCATTGTGCTCTTTCTCATACCTACTCATTATTTATTTCTTTTGCATTTGTAATACTGTATATGTCTTTTTTTGTGATTGGCATGATATTCAATGCGTTGGATACTGATACTTGAAGCGTTTCTTATATATCATTCAACTGGTTGTGGTCTTCATCCCAATTTAGCATAATGGGATTTTGAAAACTGTTTTTTATTTTTTTGTTATTGGAAATGGGTTGTATTGGCTGTACTTGTGTACAATGAATCCATATCCAGCCTTGAGATTCCATAATTTACTTGGCCTGCATCCAACCTGTTCAGCACAAAGTGACAGTCTGAAGTGGTATTCATCTGAGTTGATTGTGTTCTCCATACTTTTCTGGCACTTGATTTAATTTTGATCTCACCTGCTTGTGGGGGTCGTTTTCACAGAACAACTGAACAGCCTAGCAAAGTTTTCAAAGTTCTAATATGTTTCACTTTTTGGAAGGTTCAAAGCAAATGATCGAATTATTCACTACCTTCTTCCAAATCTCCCCTTGACTGTTTTTTTTTAAATAGGGATTGCCAATTGTTAGCTTGTTTTGAACAGTCTCAATTTCATTGGTGGCTGTATGAATCTGCAGGAACAAGTACATGGGCTGGTCAAAGAGTTCCCGGAAAAAGTGACTTCTTACTGTTAAATCCCCATGATTTTTTCACTGCGTATCCTTATGTATCTTAGTAGTTCTCCATTTTAATTTCAGATCCTTGCGTTAAAATGGAGACTCGCAAGTGCGCGCAAAGTGAAACGAGTCAGAGGGTCTTGCCACCCTTGATGAGCCGTGACAAATGCGAGGCAATTTTGGTGCTGTTTCGGTTGGGAAATTCGGCGGCACAGTGTTTTGAAACCCTTCAAAAGGCACTTGCTGACCACGCTTCATCCCGGAGCACTGTCTACGAGTGGTTGGCGTGCTTTTGATCTGGCTCCTTCAGCCTCGACGACGATCCCCGTGAAGGTGGTCCAAATTTCACTGTCACTCCAGAAAACATTGTCTAGGAGTTGCTTCATGCTGGCAAAGACCGGCAGATCACCACCAGGGAACTAGAGAAGCTCGTTGGGGTGTCGCATGGCTCGGTCATCAATATCCAGCACAGACACCTTGGGATGAGGAAGGTCTGTGCTCGTTGGGTTCCACACCAGCTGAAACCGGATCACATGAAAGCTCGTGTGGACTTCTGTGAATTCATGCTTCAGAAATTCGACGGTGGAGCCTCTGAAGCTGTGGGAAACATCCTCACAGGTGGTGAAACCTGGATCTACTTCTACTTCCCATTGTATCCTCTGGTTATTCGTCTCTGGGCCGAAACTGCACCAAAATTGCCCCACGTTTGTCACGGATCATCAACGGTAGCAAGACCCTCTGACTTGTTTCACTTCACATACGCTTGTGAGTCTCCATTTTATCGCAGGGATCTGAAATTGAAGGGAAGAACTACTAAGATACATGAGAATACACAGTGAAAAAATCATGGGGATCTGACAAAAAGAAGTCACTTTTTCCGAGAACTCTTTGACCAGCCCACATATAGTTCTCATTTTGTGTGATTCAAGTTCCTGCATCTAGCCACTTGAAGAGTGAAGATGTTTTCAAGCAAACAAATGGTGATCCTGGTTGATTTTGTCACATCTGTGAGACATGATTAGTGAATGTGCATTCCATTGATGCCAAGAATGAGGGAGATTTATGAATGGAGTTGTCATTGGCTTCATGTATTATGTCTTTTGCTTTTGCTCATTCCTTTCCCAGTGTGATGATTGGTAAAGCATAGACAGACTTTTTTTCTTCACTCGAGAACTCTTATTGTAGTATGAAGTTGTGTGACACTCTTTGCTTGCTGGACTTTGCTGCCCATTGAGACATGTTGGAGCATAGATCATTGTATCCCATGCCATATATATTGCATCTTGAGGATTTCCTGACTAATGACTTAATGGAAATGTTTGCATATATTCAGACATGAGTAGATCATGTATGGAAATTTTAATTGCACTAAAATTTCATGGTGTGTGGAACATCTGGAAGTTGCATTCACTTCACTAACATAACTGGATAGCATAGAATGTCTTCATCTTCAAAGTTTTGCTCTTTTCCAAACATCTGGACCAAGACCTCTAACTTGGTCCAAAATATTTTGTTTCCTCCCCCAGCAGTTTTTTGTGGCATGCTGCAAAAGAATGAAGGAGCTTATTGGTACCACCATGAGTGCATTTTCTAAATTATTATGCACCTGACCATGTATATATTTATTGGTTTTTGACTTGACATAAGGTTGTTCATGTGATTTATATGAAAAAGTACCTGAGACGAATTTTATTTTTGTGATTTATGGCCCAAGAGCCTTTCCTAGGCTTTGCATATACATTCAAGAAGTGTTTATGTCCCTCATGCTAATTAAGTAGAAAATAAATTATTTTGTAAGTCTTCCCTATCCTTCCATGTAAAGAGAAGTTTCAGGATGTAAATACTTTTTTACAGAATGCTCTTAATGTTACCTTTTCTCCATCATTAGTGGCTGTTTCAGATGATGTGGCTTGAAACTTTCATCATGCTTTGGAAGTGAGAGTATTGACATGATTGAAGCCCTCTTGGCACATCCTTGTGTTGCAGACCATCGGGATTCCACACGAGGAGTGCAGGGGGGTCATGTGGCAGGGCAGGACATGGGACAAGCAGAAGACGTACTTCTGCTCCCACTGCTCGTACAACACCAACCGCAGGTACCACGCGATCAGGCACGGCCGCATCCACACTGGGGAGAAGCCCTTCACCTGCTCCACCTGCGGGAAGGCCTTCTCGAATCCCTCGCACTGGAAGAGGCACAGCAGCACTCATGTCTATGATATGAAACTGTAATTTTGTGATTGATATATTGTTATTGTAAGGCAGGTTTGGACCTTGCTATAATGTATATGTGTGGAATAAATTATTGTTTTATCACTTTTTTTATAATTGCACTTGTGGCTGTTGCAGAAACAAACCACAGCCAATCATCACCTTTTTGATACCATATCTGAGTAATCAGGGCTCAAACCGTTATTCACCAATTGCTCAAATATATGAGAACCTTGACAGTCATGAAAATACACGAAAAGTGGGGTTAGAAAAATTTACAAGATAATGAAAAAAGATACTTATTAGGTGGTAAGGGCTTATTTTTGAATAGAGAACTATCTGATAATGCTTTATTTCTAGGAAATATCTTGTATTTTCCCTGAAATAAAGCTGCATTATCTATCAGATATCTGTTCAAAAATCCACCCTAAGTATAGAACTTCAGGCAGACAGGGATCTACCAAAGTAAAACAGATGCCTTTTTTTATTATTCTTCCTAGACTATCAGCTTCTCACAATTCCCATTTTTTCCCTTGCTGTTATCTCCCAATCTGGATTTGTTCGAAACTACTCTATCAACCCATTGAAAAGTTTGTGTTGTCCTTTTGGTCACCCTAGAATACTGTGAATCTGTGCAGATGGTCAGAGTATAAATAAGGCCCTACATCTCTGCCTGGCATAGTATTCTACACTCACTTCGCCTGAAAATATCCGCCCACATTTGGTGATATCCCCATGGAGCAGGGTCGTATCTGGGATTTCATTTCAGGGGGGGGGGGGGGGTTGAGGTCTGGCGTATGCGCTGTGGCTAATTTTTTATACTTGTCATTGTAAATCTTTGTGAAATATCTGGATTTTCCTGTAGGTTACAGTGTTTAATAAGTCACAAGCTATTAAATATAGAAAGGACAAAGTACTACACCGTTTACACCTACGAATAGCAGTATGGCAAACATTTATGGAAGATGTTTCGGGGGGGGTTTGAACCCCATGAACCCCCCTAAATATGGCCTTGCCATGGAGATGAGCTGGGAACCTCATTTCCTTGAAATTCCTTTCAAGAAATAAGTTTAATTGTATTTTGTAAAGTTCATTTTGGATTGAGGACTCAAATATTTTTCATTGCATCATAAAACAATAACATCATTGAGGGTCACAGAAAAGCTGCCATAAGAAGCATGGAGCGTCTTTCTCCCATAGAAAATAGCTCCTGAATGAACACCAACACAGCCCTCTCGCTCCATCTGAGTTGTGGAATTGCAGTCCCTCGAAGTGATTCTGTACACTAGGTGGTCATCTGAAGGTACCCCATCTGGACGAGATGCAGAACGACCTCCCATCCCAGGTCGTTCGAGACTGACACAAACCGATCACATGGAGCCTGACGCTCACATTCGTCTCCATGGTTCCAGGATGTAGGAAAGGGTCGGGGCAGAGTTAAAGGGGGAGGTTATGCTTTCCAAGCAACCGAGGGAGAGGAACTCGTATCCAGCGACTTCCTTATTTCTTACCCTTCTCAGCCTAGTTTTATCTTCTCGTTCCTACGCTTGGTGATTCCTCGTAACTTTTGGATGGTCTTCGGACGCTGGGGGAAAGGGGGTTCAGGAAAAGGATAGAACAAATCCAACCACAATAGACAAGATTCCCGTATTCAATTTCGAGACTTCCATGCAATCTCTGATGAATTCCTAAGAACCTGTGCTCAAGTTCTTTTTTTTTTGGACAGAAATCTTTTGATCACAAGGGAAATCGATTGCGAACATCCGTTTCACTTTCAATTTCTCGCTTCCAGATTGGTAAATGTGATTTTTAGTAAAATAAAATAAAATGTTTTTTTTTTTTTAATAAATAAAAAAAATATATATATAATATGCAAGAAGGGAAATTCACAGATAGTTAAATTCTCAAACACCCTCTACCTCCTTTTAGTTCCATTGTCGACGCTACGGAATCTCGCACGCCGTCGGCATCGGAATGGAACCAACCGAACGCGCGGTAGTGGATGTCCCAGACGCCTTCATTCGGCGATTCGTCGCTTCGGGAAGACAACGAGGATTCGCTCTGCGTTCCATCATTTCTGTCAACGAGTCCTAGCTGAAGTGGTTCGATCACGGCATCTGGATTCATCTTGGAGAACATGGGGAGAGGAAGAGAGGGAAAACGAATCCGGCTTCGTGAAAGAAAAATTGGGAGAACAGTTCACGTCCCCACGACCATGGACCTCTGTACTGACAACTTCGAAAGGTGAGGAAGATTTATACGAGTATATACTTCTTGCAAAAAAAAAAAAAAAAAAAAAAAAATAATAATAATAATAATAATAATAATAA